CTTTCCCTCTGGAGTATTCAACTGGCCTATAAGCCAATCCAGTGAATTTTTCATTTTATATACTACATCTCTGAGGTCTAAAATTCTAATTTTGTAAAATCCCCTATTTGTTCTCTCAAGATCATGTTTTCCTTTAAATTACTGAATAAATTTTTAATAACTTTTAAAAACACCTTATCTGTTAATTCTGTAAACTTTACCATTTGTAACTATGTTTCTATTGACTGATTTTTTTTTTCTAGGTTTAGCTCATATTTTCCTGCTTCTTCACTGAAATAGTGTTTTACTGCATGCTTGGCATTATAGATGTTACACTGCTGATTGTCTCTGTCATCTTTAAGTATGATATGTTTTATTCTAGAAGGCAGTTAATTTAATTACAAATCAAGTTTAATTACAGCTTGTTTTTAAGCTTAATTAGTATGAATCTAAAGTAGCTGTGATGGTTAATTTTAAGGGTTAACTTGACTGGATAAGGGATACCTAGTTAGTTGATAAAGCATAATTTCTGGGTCTGTCTGTGAGGGTGTTTCCATAGGAGACTGTATGTAAGTTAGGAGACTGAGTGAAGAAGATTCACCATCAATGGGGCAGTCTCCATCCAATCAGCTGAAGGCCTGAATGGAACAAAAAGGCAGAGGAACAGCAAATTTGCTCTTTTTCTCTCTTGCAGCTAAGGTACTCTTTCTTTTCCTTCCCTTGGACATAGGAATTCCAGGTTCTCCAGCCTTTGGACTCTGGGACTTGCACCAATAGTCTCTTGTAACTGGGTTATCAGGCTTTGGCCTCAGACTGAGAGTTACACCATCAGCTTCCCTTGTTCTGAGGCTTTTGGACCTGGACTGAGCCATGCTACCAGCTTCCCTGTTTCTCCAGCTGGCAGACAGCCTATTGTGTGTGTGTCTCTTTCTCTTGGTTCTGTCTCCCTGAAGAACCCTGACTAATATAGTAGCCTTTCCTGTAGGACTAGATTAACCCTGCTTTTAATGTTTGGACTTTCTGAGGTTTCTAAAGCATTCAGTTCACAGCTGTCCAGTAGTTCTTTTCCTGGTAATTTTTTTTTTTAAATTTCACCCCAAACTTGCTTTATTTTGGTTTATATGGATATTCCTGATAGTACAGGTGAATAAAGGAAGGTAGTTAAAAAAAAATTTATTCAATTTCTCTAAAAAAATTGCTCCATTATAGATACATGCTTTGTTTGTAGTGTATTATTTCTATAATAGAGAAAAAATCTTGAATGAAAGAGTTATCAAATTTTATTCACTTTCCCATATGCTCACTTTAGGAAGCATCTACATTCTCTTTATTTCTTGTTATTATGGAAGTAACTGTGTACAATAAGCAAAGATTTATTGAGAACATTTTATATATGTGCAATTGTGGTTTCTATAGTCCAAAGAATTTTTGTACTGCTAGAAGGTGAATATCAGAGATTTTACATTGAAAATATAGCTTCGAATTCATTCCAAAGGGAAGAATTCTTTAAAACCATTTTCTTTTCTGATTATTTTCCCTATTTTCAATACCACCTTGTTTCCTAGCTACTTAAATGTATTCAATAGCTTATGCCAAGGCTGGGGTGCTCACTCAAAATCTCCCTGAAAGTCAACCAAACTAAGACAAGACAAGAAAAAGGGAGACATGAGTTACAGGTGTCCCAAAGGTATTGCAACTGTGAAGATAAACGAAGTTCAGGAGAAGAGAATACGAAAAAACAAAAACAGATAGTATACATGCAATTTAAAAACCTGCTTTAGGGCAGGAGCGGTGGCTCATGCCTGTAAACCCAGCACTTTTGTAGGCTGAGGTAGGTGGATCATTTGAGGTCAGGAGCTCAAGACCAGCCTGGCCAACACGGTGAGACCCTGTCTCTACTAAAACTACAAAAATTATCCAGGCATGGTGGCACAAGCCTGCAGTCCCAGTTACTCGGGAAGCTGAGTCAAGAGAATCACTTGAACTGGGAGATGGAGGCTGCAGTGAGCTAAGATGGCACCACTGCACTCCAGCCTGGGTGACGGAACCAAACTCCATCTCAAAAAAGTAAAACAATAAAAATATGCTTTAATGTTAAATTTTTTTTTTTAGATCAAGTCTCTGTCACCCAGGCTAGAGTGCAGTGGCATGATCTCGACTCACTGCAACCTCTGCCTGCCGGTTCAAGTGATTCTCCTGCCTCATCCACCTGAGTAGCTGGGGCTACAGGTGTATGCCACCATGCCTGACTAAATTTTGTATTTTTAGTAAAAATAGGGTTTCACCATATTGCCCAGGCTGGTCTCGAACTCCTGACCTGATGATCTGTCCACCTCAGCCTCCCAAAGTGCTGGAATTACAGGCATGAGCCACCGCACCGGGCCTGATGTTAAATCTTAAATGTGTAAAATGCCCTATATTTTCAAAGCAATCCTGATTTTGAAAATAAGTAGCTAAATTTATACCATAATTTCCATTCTTCTAAACAAATATTGAAAATTATGTAACAGATGACATTGTAGAATATTTTGCAAATAACATTTTAAAATATTTCTGAATGAAAACAGAGGTAGTTAAATAGGTACTAAGCATTTTCAAATTCTTGTTTGTACTATTAATACTTATATAGATAATGTACATCTCAATTTTAAATGTCATTATAATTAGTAAGGATTTATAACAGGATGTTAGGCACATACCATAATATTATTAAAAAAAAAAAACTAAATTAAAAATTCACATTAAAAAAATGTACCAAAATTTGTTCATTTGTCTTAATAAAAACAAAGTTTACATTGTTACTGTTAGGCAATAGGGTAATAAAAGTAAATGGGAAACTAAAATACTCTCTTCAATAACAGAAGACAAACATTTAACTTCAAAAATAATTTAAGCTTTAGAAAATCTGAGAAGTTTTACAAAGAACTCGAATAGACCCATATACACTACTCAACCCCACCACTGGTTCAACAGTTTTTTTAAACTGTTACCAAGACTAAGAAAGAAAAATAATGTTTTAGAAGAGTCTAAGAATGTATAATTTTGAAATTTTGTGGAATGTTGCCAAATTGCCCTTTGAAAAGATTGTACTAACTTATATTCTCACTAAAAAAGTGTGAAAATGCCCATTTTCTCAGACCTGTTCCATTAGTATGTAATAAATGTTTTATTGCCAGCAGTCTGATAGATAAAATTTCTCATTGTTGTTTCAGTTTGCATTTTTTTGATAATTACTATTTCCTCATATATTTACTTGCCATTTGCATTACTTCTGTGAATTGTCCAAACATTCAGTGCCTGTTTTTCTATAATTTGTATTAATTTACAGGATCTTACTACACATTAAGGATAATATATTAAGAATAATGTATCTGTAACATATTTTGCAAATATTTTTCCATATTATTGTTTATATTTTAACTTAGTTTATATTATCTTTTTCTGTAAAAACCTTAAACTGTTATAGAGCCAAATCTGTCTGTTTCCTTTATAGCAACAGTTCCCAGTGTTTTTGGCAGCAGTGACTGGTTTCATGGAAGACAATTCTTCTGTGGACCAGGGTGGGGGGATGATTTTGGGATGAAACTGTTCTTTCTCATAAGGAGCGCACAACCTAGATCATTCCAGGCACAATTCATAGTAGGGTTCATGCTCCTAACATGCCACAGACTGGGGTTCCTGGCCTGGAGGTTGGGGACCCCTGCTTCACAGCATCTGGGCTACATGTCATCCTTTAAAGTATATTAAAATTTCTCTTCAATCATTGTATTATGAAGAGAATAACAGTACATTTCACAGTTGTAGTGACACTGCTAACAACATTCAAATATTAAGTACTGAGATATGGTTAAGTTAAAAAGAATTACAGTATTCAGTTAAAAATTTATCAATTTAAGAAGCACATACAACCTGAGTCATAGCATAACAGTTTCTTTGGTAATCTCTTAAGTCTTTAAAATTCTAGTTATGTAAACAGTATAATATCTTTTAGGATAATACAATATAAAAGTCACAAAAAACATTAAGTTTATGTACTCTTGTCACTCACCTAAAATGGGACTTTCCTAATTCTGTGTCTGAGAAAAAAAAAAATGGCCCACTGATTTCCAGCCAATTCTAATTGATATCAAATTCTGCATGGTGAGTTAAAAAGCTGCTTCCTTGCTCTATTTTTTTGCTGTGGTTCTATGCTCCAGAACAGAAAATAAATATATATCACCTCTATACCATTACATCCTTTTAGATATGTGAAATATTCTCTTCAACAGTTCTTTCCTTACTGTACATTTTCATATAAATATTTGTTCACGTTTAACTGACCTATTATGCTATAAGCTCCATGAAAACAGTCCAAATGTCTTTTAAACCTTAGCTCCTACTGCCTGTTATGTAGAAAACACTTACTGAACTGCTGTTTGAATAGAAAGAAAAAGAAATGTGTAGATAATGTTGCCTAATTTCTTACCTGTAGACAATTTTGCCAATATTTTTCTTAAAATCAAGAAAGTCAGATTATATAATCTCAATCTCTGTTTCTTCTAATTATTATATTCTAATATTTACCTGTATGATTCTGTGTTCTGAATACATTCCTGATAAATGATTATCAAGTAATTTTATATCTACAGAAAACCACCTTAGGTTCAAAATAGTCTATAAAACAGTTCATCTGCATTGCACAATGAATACATTATTGATTTTCCATAACATATTCAACATTATTCTGACATGTTTGTTAACATAAGGGAATTTGGTATTGCAGCTATACAGCTTCAATTATATTCAAAGTAATTTAAAAAATCATATACTAATTAGAGATTTTGGAGTGACATATACACATGAAATAAATACAGATATGTTCAGATCACATCCTTTGGCATCCTGAGGCAGAAGAAAGGTTGAGAACTATAGATTTCAACGGTAAATTATCTATTCTTAAAAATAAATTTTTTCCAAAAAATGTGCTTGATATTTAAAAATATGTGAATCTTTACCAACTACTTGGGACCAAAAATACTTACTTCACTGTGGCACTTAGAAGAAAGTTCAGCTGTGGCATTAATAGGTTGTCTGGGGCTGACAGATAACGATCAAACTGAACCTAAATGAAACAGAGAAATACAAAATATAAAGTACATATATTTGCTAACAAACATCTCAAATATAAACATCTCTTTTAAGAGTGAAATATATGAGGCCAGGTGTGGTGGCTCATGCCTGTAATCCTAGCACTTTGGGAGGCCGAAGCGGGCGGATCACGAAGTCAAGAGATCGAGACCATCCTGGCCAACACGGTGAAACCCCATCGCTACCAAAAATACAAAAATATTAGCTAGGCATGGTGGCACGTGCCTGGGTCCCAGCTACTCGGGAGGCTGAGACAGAAGAATCGCTTGAACCCAGGAGGCAGAGGTTGCAGTGAGCCGAGATTGCACCACTGCATTCCAGCCTGGGAACAGAGCAAGACTCCGTCTCAAAAAAAAAAAAAAAAAGAATTAAATATATGAGAAAAATCCCACGCTCCAAATAGCTAGATTGTTGTGTTCAAATTGTGTATTATTTCCTAAACATTTTAACTAAAACTCCCTAAAACTATCAAATTTGTAATTAGTCAATATTAGCAATATTTACTTTTAAAGTCCTGAATCCAAATCATTCATTTTAGTCTTCTTCACTGAGCTTTTAAGTAATAATATTAACAAAAAGTAAAGTCATCAGGTTTCAAGTCTACTTTGTTTCTTGATTTTACTATATTTGTTCATTTGTTCATTAATCCATTCATTAGTTCAACTAATACCTACCATTGAAACGGTACTATATTAAGTAATGGAAGTACAGTCCTTAGCTTCATAAAGCTTATGGCAGAGAGGTATTAAACTGATAATAACATAAATAAATATATAATTACAAACTTTGTTAAATGCTATTAAGGAACAAAACAAGGTATTATAAAGCATAAATCAAGGACCTAGTCTGTGGATTTGGCAAAAGCATCTCTCAGGAAAGGGCATTTGAAGTGAGACCTTAAAGATGAATATAAATTAAGTAAGTGGATGGATGGATGGGGAGGTATAGGGAGAGGAGACAGCATGAAGGCTTGAGGTGGATAGGAAAACAGCTAGAAAAGTAGAGATCATGTAGGACTGGTATGCTTATTTAAGGATTTTAATTATTTTAAAAGCATTAGTAAACCGCTGAAGTTAAGTAAGGAGAAATCTGATTTAAGTTTTATGAAGTTAAATCTGTCCATAGGAAGAAGAATAGAATGGAAGATTGCAATAACAGATGCAAGGACACCAATTAGGTACATACTACAGCATTTTTAGACTATGGGGCAATCAAGGTGAAAGAAGTAAAATATTTGAGGACCATCAGGACTTGGTTATTAACAGAATGAAGGGGTTGACTCCCAGATTTTGGATCTGTAGAAATTAATTCGCCATATTATCATGACACATAACTGTACTCTTCATCCATTTATTTAATTGTGTAGCAGCTGCATCCCTTACTAGATCATACCTGTTTTCATCCCAATTCTTAGTATGATGCTTAAAAAAACAGCAGAAACTTGGCTAATAACTATTTGAATGATAAACGGACATAAGGGTCTTACAATTTTCTGAGTTAAGAGTGCGTGGAAGAGGACTTAGGTTGGGGTAGAATGGGCAGGGTCAGTTTTGGACATGCTGAACTGAAGCGCCTTAGAAACCCCTAAATGGAGACAACAAATGGTTGTATATAACAACGTATTAAATACAAAATTCAAGTAAGATTTCTTTCTTTAGAGACATCACATATTCACCTTAATTGTTTTGAAAATTAACACCAGAAACATTAAGAATTTTTAATGGCACTTAAAAATATTTTATGAGTTGTATTACAGAGTGGATATGTTTCAAGAGAGAAGGAGAAACCACGGAAGGAAACACACATTTGATATTAACTACTGTTACAGACTTAAGTGTGAACACAGATCTTCACTTTTTGGGGGGTAAATATCTTGAAGTGGGATTTTACTGGATAGTATGGTGACTGTATATATAACTTCCTAAAAAAACATATCTCTTAATCTAAAATTTGTTTTCATCTATTTTTAAACTTTTTAACATTGAATTTTCTTTGCATTTCTAATTTTTGCTATTATATTTTGTTTTATACATAGAAGTTATAACTGTTAATTCTACAGTGTCTTTTAACATAACATAATGTTTCTTGTTTGTCACATTTAGTCTTTTTAAATTCTACTTTAATAATTATATAGATAGCTCTACCTTCGTCTTTGCATTTTTAGGTATCTTATGGGCCTATCCTTTTATTTTCAGTTAACTTGAGCTCTGGAAGATAATACATAGGAAAGCCCTGGCATCAAAAAACCATCCTAGAGAACGATCTAGAAAGTCAAGCCATTATGGTAGTGAGTATATGCGAGTATTTTACTTAGGATCAGTAGGTTAGTACAGTAGTTAAGCCCATAAGCTCTAGAGGCCAACTTCCTGGATTCAAGGGAGTTGTCATGAGGATTAAAGACTTAATACATGAAAAGCACTTGCTATGCTCAGTAAACGTTAATGGCTGTTGTTCCTTGTTATTATTATTATTACTATTACTAGTAGTACTATCATAAAGCTTCCAAAAGGGATCATTCCTATGAAGGACAGAGCTATATGACTTAAATATCATACAATGAATGGTTATGCCTATAAGAAAAGTATATATTTAAGACACAGGAACACACTATGAGAAGTAGCGATCATGCAAAAAGACCTTCTTTACAAGGTCTTCCCTTGAAAAGAAGGTAATAAAGTGGAAATTCAGTGTAGCTCACACTAACGAGTAACAAACTGTTTTAAGAGTAGAATCTAATTTCGATTTTGATATCAGGAAATAGTCAAGAACTTTAAACCAAGGATTATAGTAGTAACAACTTTATAATGATATACAGCCTAATTTCTTCATATCTGTCATTTCTGTTTCTCCATTAAATTAGGAATAAAACTCTAAAAATAAAGAGTAAACAGTAATCCTAAACAGTAATGAAGAGACTATCTAGGCCTAATGGAACACTACTATGAATTTAAGACTTGGCCAGAACTCTCAATTAAAGGAACACAGGCTCAGTCATTATTATTGGACCCAATGTTAAAAAGCATATCAAGAGATAAAAAGTATCACCCAGAGCAAAATTATCACACAGGAAAAAATGAAGAATATTGATCCATAAGAAAATCTAAAGTAAAATGTTTTATTATATACTTACCATCGCTGCCTTCAGTGTCACAGAATCTAGGTTGGGCATATTAGCTAAAGAGCCCTATTTTTTTTTTTAAAAAAAAGCAGAATCAAAATGTAAAAAAGGAGACAAACATTTCATTTCATTTCATTTAGTGAATATAGTCCATTATGCACTGCCCACATTTGGAAAATCATTTACCTTATTTGCAAATAACTGTAATTTCTTTGACCTCAATAAGATCAGGGACTATGATTTGTTGGAGGGAGCAAGAGGCACTCAAGTTTGTTAACAATGGAAATATCATACTTCAAGTTTACTCATACCCAAGAAAAAGAAGGCAATGAAGCACTGGAAGATGCCAGTGACACATGGAGGTTTGAACAATTTCACTTTGATACTTTTAGAAAGTAGAGAAAGGCAGCAAAATTGGTTCCTACTGGTAGAAATTTGCTTATCACTTTAGCAAGAAAAAATTGAAAAGTTGTGTTTTAAGAGCTTCATTTCAGAGTTCCTGGGTCCTAATACAGTCTTTATGTTAATGCCATTGGAAAGAGTTCTTTGCTTTCTAAAGAAAGATGGCTTACACGATTTTCTAGGGTTCCCATCACTTCTTTTTTTCTATTAGGGTTCTATAATTTAACAAAATCATATACTGGCCCAAGAAGTGACTATCTTCTCAAAGTAATGGGCAACTATTTGCTAAATTAAGAAGAAGATGACTACTATTTATACAGTAATCTATGCATTCAATTAACTAATAGTGACACAGGAATCTAAAAAATTTGCCAGTATGAATATCCTTTAGACATTCTATAATACTAATTTTTGTATATTTTCATTACTTTTAACAAAAACTATATGTAATAAAAAATTGTTAATACTTTGGGGCACTCTACCATATTTCAGGAAGTCATCTAAGAATGATACATGTTTATATCTTTTAATCTTAAGAACAACCCTATCACACAGACACTATTATTACCCCCAATCCACAGGTAAGGAAACAGATACAGAAAAGTAAGTTACTTTCCGAGGAAAACATAGCTAATATGTGGAAGAGCCAGGAATCCAGAGTGAAGCTCTAGAAGCCATACTCTAAATTGGCATGTTCTTAGAATTAGGAAGGAACATCTATGCACTTACTTGCTCTGGTTTGTGTTGCTGTACAGTGTTATAGATGTTACTCAAGCCTACCCTAGTTAAAACGTAAGAGGCTTGCTCATTTATAAGTGTGTCCAAATGCGCTTCGATCTAAAATAAAACACAGAAAGAAAACATTTTAGAAGAATGACACTGATGAGAGTAGAAGTAGACTACCCCAGAGTCTTAGCTCTTCATCATGGAGTCTTTCCTTGTATTGGCACAGATTATGAGGCACAGGGATGGCCTCTGTAACAAAGCTTTTTCTTCCCCCAGACAGTAAGTCTTTCCATGAAAGGGGGAAAAAGTCTTACTTTAAAAATTATAAGCAAGGAGGATTCTAAGACTATCCTCCAGCCACAGAATTTGGGTTGCTTCTCAGCTCTTTTAAGAGCTGATAATAAACAAAACACAAACAAAAAACACTAATAAGCAACAACAATATGAAATAAAATATTTAGGAAGAATTCTGAGAAGATGGGGGCCTGATGCTCCTGATCTCCTGTCCTCCTCATGCTCCCAACTTGCTAGGCTGACTTAAATCAAACATACCATCTGGAGAAACCTAGAGGAAATCTCACTACAGCTCAGGTAGTAAATTCTCCTGAGGATATGGCAGATCTATGAATAGCAGGGAAGAGCTGAGGGCCCAGTAAAAACTTGGCCAAAGATTTCAGGTTCAGGAACTGCCTACGAAGATGCGGCTAACAGATGTGAGTAGTATGGGCTCCCCCCAAGCTTTGTGCCATTTTGGGGCATTCCAACTAATGCTAATGGAGGTAAAAACCACAGAAGAGGACCACCTTGATGGGTTGAAACATTCCCTGGTGAGAAAAACCTTGTTATTCCTTTTTTTTTTTTTTTTTGGGCCAGTACAATCTTGAGTCTGGAGGTCTTCCTTCTATTCCTCACCACAATGCTCCCCCAGGTTTTACCAGTTTGCTTGCTAATGACACAGTACACTGTCACCTATGGTATCTGTTACCATCTGAATGACTGCCATTTTCCAAGGAACTCCAATAGCTCTGTTCTTTCCACTAAAAAACTTAGAACTGACTTAAAAGAGGTAAGTAAGCTAAAAGAAAGCCCTTGTGAATAATCAGAACAAGTATGGTTTCTTTCCTGGGGCAACACTACAGAAAGACATAAAGCACTTTCATGTTTTGTTTTTTTTTTTTTTTTTTAATAAATGTCTAAGGAAGTACAATTAGAGTCCTTATTTGCTGGACTTAATACAAACCAAAGAAAAACAAGATGTACAAAGGTAAACACTTAATGAGAGTGAAAAAAAAGTTACTGCTAAAAATCAAATTAGTGGTCTGAAGAAAACATGGAAGGAAGGCAAGTAATATAGGGCAAATAAATGTTGAAGAAATAGATTAAAGTAATGAGATTTAAAAAGAAATCAGAGGACAAATCCATGAGATAAAACCAACCAAGGACAGGGGCTTCAAAACGTAAAAAGTAACATAGAAAAGTGATGATTAACGAAATATTGTAACTCTTTACTAAGCAAAAGAAAGGTTTGAATCTTTACATTGAATTGATTCTCCAAAGTCCAAGATGGAAATAATTTTGAAAAAGAGACATACTAAAAATATCCTGGAAAAACATATGAACTCAAAGGAAAATCCCTGTTTATTTCCAGATGAATGGACTAGATAACTAAAAACAAAAGAGAATCAGACTACTCTGGACTTCTTGCTTGAAACACTGGAATAAGCTATATAACAGTGGGAAAAAAATAATAGGTTATTGGTAGTAAAGGTCCTAAAATCAAGAATCCTTTACCCAACAAGTTTAATTGTTACTTTGGAGGAACGAGATAAGCCACACCTTCCCATATCCACACCCTTGTATTGTCCTCTATCACACTGAATCCAGGCTGTTCTATGTGACCAGTCTTGGCTGACGGCACATTAACAAACATCATGCACGTTTAGGCCAATAAGCACTTCCACACTGGGATTTGTCTGCTTGGAATATCCACTCAAGGGGTCTGCCAGTGGGGTCTAAAAGGGCACTGAGAAAATTGCTAGTGGAGTCTGGAGAAAGGAAAACCTGAATTATCTGCTGATAGAACAATTACTGAAAATGCTGCCAGGACTAATAAAGATCTGGCTCAAGAGATTTCTGGAGAATGTTGAAATACATGTGAAAAGTCAAGTTGACACATCCAATGGGGGCAAAAGTAAGCAAGGACAGAGAGAACTTGAACTAATAAGCTCAATTTAGCACACAGACTAAGAATTTTTATCATGCATAAAATAGCTATGGAACACATAAGAAAAACAGGTAATTGGTGATAAAACAAATTGATAAACACCTGACATATCTGAACATCCTAAGATTTAGATAAATGGCAGAGATTTGAGCTGGAATTAGTGACAAACACAGAAAAATGTGACATTTCTTAAATAAAAATGCTATTAGTTCCACAGAAAATGAAAAAGTTATCCAAGAAAGGTAAATTAACCATTCTGCATTACATGGTTCAGTCACCAATAGTATTTACATAGTAATAATAATTTAACACAATATGGATCTAACCAAAATAATATAGCTGCATTGGAAAGATGGGAAAGCTCTATGTATGGTCATATTCTTATCTGGGAGGTTGGTGGGTGGCAGTAGGTAACAAAATATTTTAAAACTTAATAGATAACTAAATTTAAAGTAAAAAATTTAAAATTTAAAAATTTAGTAAATAATTAAATTTTCATTGTTCATTTCATAACGTATTAGATTATATCTAATGTAACACATTAAATATAAAACTAAAAAAAAATCTGTAAGTAGCAATCCACACAAGTGTTCAGAATTACAAATATAAATACCAAAAGAAGCAACTATAAAAACTGAAAGAAACTGTGTTTTTGAGTGAGAAATGAGAGAGAGATGTTGGGGGTGGAGAGGATGGTACACTGGTGGCTTTTCATAAGAAGTTTTGTAGAATTATTTGACTTTAAACCACAAATCTGGTATTTTTATTTTAAAAGAAAAAACTAGGCCAGGTATGGTGGCTCACACTTGTAATCCCAGCACTTTGGGAGGCCAAGGCAGGCAGATCACAAGGTCAAGAGATCAAGACCATCCTGGCCAACATGGTGAAATCTGTCTCTACTAAAAATACAAAAATTAGCTGGGCATGGTGGTGCATGCCTGTAGTCCCAGCTACTCGGGAGGCTGACACAGGAGAATCACTTGAACCAGGGAGGTGGAGGCTGCAGTGAGCCGAGATTGTGCCACTACATTCCAGCTTGGTGACAGAGTGAGACTATGTCTCAAAAAAAGAAAAAAAAAAAAGAAAGAAGAAAAAACTAGAAATTAGAAAATTTCATAAATTTAGAAATATAAAAACTCATTCTTATACCCACTGACAAATTGTTGATATATGTGTGATAGCACAGAACATTGAGTTGTTTTTTAATAAACAGTATATTTACTTATAATCACTGCTTAAAATTGGAATCCAACTATCCACTAAATTTTACTAATGGCTTTGTTTTAGTCATCATACACACTCTTAAGTGATAATGATTTGCTTTATAGGACTTGAGTGGTATAGCAATTTGTAATGTTTTGCCTAACACTGGTTTTCACATAGATAAAAATATATCTGTCCTCTGTAACACATTCTGCATTAACTATGCAGCTTGAAAAATATAACATATTATTCACAGATCAGAAACTAAAATCTGCATATAGAATAACTGTTGAAATTAATCAGAAAATCTTCAATCTACCATCACATACTATGGTATGAATCAAGTATTTTAAACATTATATATTCTGGTTCCCCTAAAGCTGAAAACTTAAATACTGAATGTGTGTGTGTGTGTGTGTGTGTGTGTGTGTGTGTGTGTGTGTGTGTGTGTGTGTGTGTTGTATGTATGTGTGTGTCCTTTCATCAGATCATCAGATGATATCAAAAGATCTATAGGAATTCAGGTCACTAAAATTAGTTAAGCCATTAACTTAAAGCTATCACATAGAGAAAAAGAATCAAAGTAAATAGTCACTGTATAGAAAAATTTACCTGAAATTGTAGCATTTCCAGACGTCTGTCAGTGAATTCAAATAGCGCTAATGTTGTCTTCATCATATATAGTGAATTGACCATGAAAGTGGCCATGTCAGCTGTACCTAAGTTGCTGGCTGATACAGTACACATCTGTAGGAGAGGATCCAAGACACATGATAAAACCTACAAATGAAAAATAAAATTAATTATTTCTCAATCACTGATATGGTCTTCGGTTAATGACACTTTAGAATTAATGCCAAACTAGTTGGAAGGAAGTCAATTTATAGAATCTTATAGGAAAACATTAAACATAGTTTAAAAAATAGTTGATCACTGAATCAATACTTTTTAAATTATGAGGACTGGTTTAATATTTGAAGGAAAAACAACAATAAGAAAGGTTCCGTCAAAGTATATGAATTACAAAATTCCAGAATTGAAACAGAATGTACAATAGAAGAGTGAAAAACTATCATTAAAAATGAATTGACAACATACCTGCACAAAATCAGCTTGACGAGCATCTAATGGTACAACCGAAGAATCATGAGATGCCAAAACTTCACGCAGCAACATGAGTGTCTGATTTAGTGCAGAACTTGGTCCAAGATCAGGTGGTGGGAGTTCAACCTAAAAGAAGAGATGATTTATCTACTCCTTATATTTTTCCACTAAATTTTAATGTGTAAATGTAAGTTAACAGTTAAAAAAATGTAAAATTACAAAGTATAGGTTCACACATTAGATAGAAATCTATAACTTATTAATAGCTTACTTAGAGCTACACAGACAGCACAAAAAGTGAGAGAAAAGTTCTTTGTTAGATAATCTCAGAATATGTCACCTTGCACTCTAAAATTCAAAAAATAGTTTGAAAACTTAGTGTTTACTTGAATTATAGAATTATATTTTAGTATGTATTTAAAATGGCCTATTTTATTTTTTAGCCCAAATCATAAGAAAAAAGCAGTCCACAGACCAGCACTATCCCAATTATAATGTAATTGAGAAATATCACCTACTGTCAGGCCCAAATCTCAAAGATTTTAGTTACATGTATGTATAGGTTAGGGGTTCAGGAATTGACATTTCAACAAGCACCCGAGGAGTTGCTCAAGAAGGTAACCCATGGGTCACACATTTTGAAAATCACTTCACAGAAACAGTTTAACAATACCATTAATTTCTTGGGCTCTAGAATTAAACGAATTATGTTCAAATCTTGGATCTATCACTTACTAGTTGTGTAACCTTCAGCAAGTTATTTAACTTTTCAGGGATTCAGATGGATTCTGTAAATATTAAATGAGATTGTTGCATGGCTGACTAGTGTGCCTTGCACTTATTAAGTAGAAGGTATGCCAAGTTCACTATCCTTATTTGGTGGCACTAAGATACATAAAAAGAAGTGCTTATGAATTTCTTTAAAAATATTTTCAGAGTACTTACAATGTTAGTAATATTTTGTAAATTTAAAAAAATAGGACTTAGAAGACAATGCAAGAGACTACAGCCTAGTGGTAGGTAGGTAGAAAGGTATAAGAATTTTTCAACATCAGCATTTATTAAAAGACTGTTTCATGTAGAAAGTTAATGCATAAGTTACATAACTAGGAACAGCAAAGTAAACATGCCCATCTCCTTCATTAAAGTAACGAGAACAAAAAGCTAATAAAACATACCCCAAACACACAATATAGCCCATGCTGAGAAAAACACCTCAATAGAAACATTCCCTGAAGAAGCCCAGATGTTAGATTTACTAGACAAGGACTTTAAACAAGCTATTTTAGGTATGTTCAAAGACTGAAGGAAATCATGTCTGAAGAACTAAAGTATGAAAACAATGTCCCACCAAATAGAAGATATCATTGAAGAGACAGGAATAATAAAACATAACCAAGTAGAAATTCTGGAGTCAAAAAGTGCAATAACTGAAATGAAAAATTCACTATAGGGGTCTTACAGTAGATTTTTTTTTTTTTTAAGACAGGGTCTTTCTCTGTCACTTTAGATAAAGTACAGTGGTGCAATCACAGCTCATTGCAGCCTTAACTGCCCATGCTCAAGTGATCATCCTATTTCAGTCTCCCAAGTATTAGTAGCTAGGACTACAGGCTCGTGCCACCATGCCTGGCTAATTTTATTTTTTGTAGAGATGGTGGTCTTGCTATGTTGCCCAGGCTGGACTCAAGCTCATGGGCTCAAGTGATCCTCCTGCCTTAGCCTCTCAAAATGCTGATTACCAGTGTGAACTGCTGTGCCTGGCCTTTCAGCAGAGTTAAGCAAGCAGAATAAATAATCAGTGAACTTAAAGATGGGTGAATTATAGAGTCTGAGAAACAGAAAGAAAAAGAATAAAAGAAAATGGGCCAGGCATAGTGGCTCATGCCTGTAATCCCAACATGGTGGGAGGATCATGAGGTCAGAAGTTCGAGACCAGCCTGACCAACATGGTGAAACCCTGTCTCTACCAAAAATACAAAAATTAGCTGGGCGTGGTGGCATGAGCCTATAATCCCAGCTGCTCAGGAGGCTCAGGCAGGAGAATCACTTGAACCCAGGGGGTGGAGGCTGCAGTGAGCCGAGACTGCACCACTGCACTCCAGCCTGGTCGACAGAGAGAGACTCAGTTTCAAAAAAAAAAAAAAAAAGAGCAGCACATCAAAGGTGAGACATCATCTAACAACATAAGTATAAAGGGGATCCCAGAAGGAAAGAACAAAGAGAAAAATGCAGTGAACAAACAATGGCAGAAAGCTTTCCAATTTTGATTTTAAAAGACATTAATCAACATCCAAGAAGCTAAGTGACCTCCCAGAAGGATAAACTCAAGAGACTTACAGCAACACACATCATAATCAAACTATCAAAAGACAAAGAGATAATCTTCAAAGTAACTAGAAAGAAATAACTCATTATGAACAAGGGATTTCTGACAAGATCAATAGCTGATTTCTCACCAGAAAACATGCAGGCCAGAGGCACTGGATGACATATGCACAGGCTTATATAAGTAGGTTGTCAATCAAGTATTTCAAATTCAGCAAAACTATTCTTCAAGAATAAAGGAGAAATTAAGACACTCCCGAATAAAGGCAAAATTTCTTCACTAGCATATCTACCCTACAAGACATAGACTAAGGAAAATTGGACACTAGAAAGTAACTTGATCCATATGAAGAAATAAAGAGCACTGGTCAAGGCTCCAACAAAGATAACTATAAAAGATAGTTTTAATGTATTTTTTGTTCATAACTCTAATTTAAAAGAAAACTGCATGAGGCAATAACTGTAAGTCTATGTTGATGGGCATACAATGTAATAAGATTTAATTATATTAATAATAGCATAAAGGAAGACGAGAATTGAGCTATTTAGGAGCAAAGTTTTTGTATACTATGAAAACTATGTTGATATTATCTTAATTAGATTGTTATAAATTAATATGCTAATTGTAATTCCCAGGGCACCACTCAGGAAATATAAGTAACCCTATACCCACAAACATATATATTTAAGTGATAAGGGAATTAAATTAGTATATTAGAAAATATCTACTTAATGTAAAAGAAGTAACAGGGACACAGAGGAAAAAGGAAATCATTTAAGACATACAGAAAACAAAGAGCAAAATGCAGACATAAATCCTATTCTACCCCCACTTAAGTGTAAATTGATAAAACCTAACAATCAAAAGGCAGAGACTAGCAGATTAATTTGGAAAACAACATGTACCAACTATATGCCAACTTCAAGAAACACACTTTTAAGACAAAAATAAATTGGATGTAAAAGGATATAAAAAGATATACCTCGCAAACAACTGCAAGAAATCTAGATTAAATTAGCTACACTAATACGCTAATATCAGACAAAACAGACTTTAAGATAAAAATTATTACTAGAAATAAAGCATGTCTGATAATAATAAAAGGGTCAATCCATCAATAAAATAAAATAATTATAAACATAAATGCACCCAACAAAAAAGCCCAAAAAAACATGAAGCCAAAACTTACAAAACTGAAGGAAAATATTTCTTGTGGTAAAGAGATACATGTTTCAAGTTCCCCAATTTCTTCAGTTTTATCTCATTTTCTTTCATTAAATTTAAATAAATGTGAACTTTAAAAAACCCTCCAGAATATGATCTTATCTTCACAAAAGTATTCTTCTATCATTCCTACTTAAAATGCTATCTAGACTGTTGTTAAATTGATGATAATAAAGTTAACTAATATTATTTCTAAGTGGAGGCTTTTTAAACTTTCATCTTTGTGCTCTTCTCCATGGTTTAAATTAAGTATAAGTATATGCATATTAGTTTTACAAAATTAATAGAGTGATCTCTGCTCCTCTAAAAGCAATATGCAGTTAATAACAGTTAATTAAGGGTGAGAGGATGTGGATAAGTGTTATTTTCTTCTTTGTGTTTCCATTTGTTTTTAAAATAAACATATATTTAATAGAAATCAATATACTCATAATTGTAAAAATTTATATGTAAAGGTATTATATATATATGCGTGCATATACATAAGTAATATAAACAGAAGATACTCAAAAAAATTTTCAGTGGAATCTTTAGCTTAGTACAAATCAGAAAGATCTGCTAGCATTCTAATAGGTATAATATAGAAATAACCACAGAAACCAGGGCAAACACGTATGTGTCGGTTACCAATACCTTTCATAAACAGAAAAAAAAAATCTAACAAAAATCCTCCAGGGAAGCTAGATGAGGAGTACAGCTCTAGTAGAACTACAAACCTTGTATAATTAAGAACCTAAATGTTTAATGTTTAATTTTCTCTTCTAAGTTATAAGCTATAGTATATAGTGTGTGTGTGTGTATACATATACATAGAGAGGGAGAGAGTATATAGTGTCTTTTGGAAGCAATAAATCTTAAAAAATTTTTTTTTAAATTTTAATAGCTTTTGGTGTACAAGTAGTTTCTGGTTACATGGATGAACTGTACTGTGATCCAAGATTTTAGTGCACCCGTCATCCAAGTAGTGTATATTGTGCCCAATATGTAATTTTTATCCCTCACTCCTGATCTTCTCCCACTTCTGAGTCTCTATAGTACATCATATCACTCTGTGTGCCTTTGTGTACCTGTAGCTTAGCTCCCACTTATAAGTGAAAACATACAGTTTTTGGTTTCCTATTCCTGAGTTGCTTCACTTAGAATAATGGCCTCCTGCTCCAATCAAGTTGTTGCAATTTTTTTATCCACTCATTGGTTGATGGGCGCTTAGGTTGGTTCCATATCTTTATAACTGTGACTGTGCTGCAATAAAGACATGTGTGCAAGTATCTTTTTGATGTAATGACGTCTATTCCTTTGGGTAGATACCCAGCAGTGGGACTGCTGGATTGAATGGTAGATCTTTTAGTTCTTTAAGAAATCTCCCTACTGTTTTCCATAGAGGTTGTACTAATTTACATTCCTACCAGCAGTACATAAGGATTTCCTTTCACCACATCTACACCAATATCTATTTTGTTTTGTTTTGTTACTTTTTAATAATGGTCAGTCTTACAGGAGTAAGGTGGTATCTCACTGTGGTTTTAATTTGCACTTCCTTGATGATTAGTGATGTTGAGGATTTTTTCATATG